CTGAAGGGGTGTACCGGCTCACCCCTCCCTCCCCTCCCCTCCCCTCTCCTCTGCCCTCCCCTCCTCGAGTGAAAACTCTCAGTCCTTGCAGTGCATCCACCTTCTGCATTCTACATGCTCTCTACTGCTCTCTGCTTTGCCAACGTCGGAACCAGCTGCAACAGGTGAGAGCGCGTCCAACCTCATGGTAGATTTTCGAAGCATTCGTTCGGTCGACTGCTTGCTAGAACGACATCTTGTTGCATGGCCAGGAGGTTGCTCATCTTCACGCCAGTGGAATCGAGGATGCTGATGAGGCAGGTTGATAATTGCATCCGGCACTGCTTTGGTGAGTAACATTGCGGCTTTGAACGTCAGGTCACAATACATAAATACATGAGGGAAGGTTCCCTTAGTGTATTCCGAATGGAACTTCAAAGACAAGATTCGGGAAGCCCAGTGCTGCATCCCCACGGCAGCGCATGGAGACGTGAGGCTGGTGGATGCTGTAATACCCACCCGGACGTGTGGCAGTTCTGTCAGGTCCAAAGTCCACACATGCTTCGTTGGATCTTGCGTTGTGTTTCGGATTCGCGTGGTCATGATGATATGCGAGTGCTCAAACTGGAACCGCATGAGATTGTAGATGACCTAATCTCGGCGACGACGTGGACGACGACAATGACGAGGAGGACGACGACAACCACTGCGACTTCGATGGAGCGAACGCTGATGGAGCAAGAGCGGTCACAGCTACTCTTCCTAAATGATCACCATTACTTCGGAAGTGACGGCGATGGTTTAAGTCATTGTTGTCTGCAGTTGCTCGGTGAAGTCATAATAGTTCCTGTGTGTTGATTGTCGCTCATGACGGTTGCAGCGGAAGACATAGCGACAGTTCTTCGATGATGCGACGATGACGCCGATGGTTGCAGCCATGGTGGCGTTGACGTGAGGTCGTGGGTTTTGGTGAGCCTTTAGCTTGGCCAGGCCTTGGCTTTGCTCGATGCTGCCCATGATCTGGGCATGTGAAACGGGATCCACATGACTTTGCGAGTTGCTGCTGTCCTTGGTTCCAGGGATCTATGGTCTAGGGGAGGAGAGTGCTCTCTGCAAATCAGGGAAAGTGAAAGAGATAGGTGCAGTCCTTCTATAGAAACCCCCCGAGCAAGATTCTGTGACTGCGATGATGACGAAGACGTGCTTCGTCTCAGGACGCAGGTCGAGCAAAAAAGGCCCGCCAAGCTGCGACTCGTAGACGTCAGGGATGGGTTTTGTAGTGCGTGCAGAGGCTACTTTGGAGGAAACGGAAGCTGATTGAGCCTTGCATGCAATGGATGCTTGGCTGCAGGCTTTAGCTGACGACCGCAATACGCACTTGCGAACCCTAGCCCAACCAACCACTGCTATTGCTTGCACTGGTTCTTTGCAGCAAACTACCATTGACACCAGTCCAAGGCCTCAGAAACCTCTGCCCTTGACCCAAGCCACAGAATCTCTGAGTAGCCGCGAAGCTTCATGTCTGTGGCCATGGGCGACCCTGCCCACCCGGAACACTCCGGAGAGGCGGGACTTGAATTCTGGCTCGTCGCCCTCTGTGCAATCCATGAAGCTGCCGATGCCAGGCTTTGGATGAGGACTGCTGAGCTTCAACAACTTCACACAACTTCGAAATCTGTACCCACCAAAACTCGTTCCTGTGTATCCCGTCTCAGCACACGGTGCACAGAGGAGAAGGCCGCCAGCATTGAAGTGCCGCTTGCAGGGACCTAAGATGTGTGGACATGTCCAACAGATGTTGGGCCATGGCTTTATGTCGCGAAGATTTCGGAGCATCAGGCTTGGCTTGTGCAGACTTGTCAGGCGACCCTGTACGCTCGAGACATCAACAGTTGCGAGATTACACACGGAGAGTTCTTCAAGTCAAGCGGCAAAGGCCTCGCCACAAAACCTGGCCCGTGTTCAGGAGGTCGGCCGCGCCATGGACGGTCAGTGCACAATGCCATGGCGTAGCTGGAAGCCTGACAGGTGCTGCAGTGCATTTTCGAGTTCTATGCTTGCGTGGGCCCCTGTGCTTCGATGAAACCCTGACCATGTGTCCTGGTATGCGGATTGTCCCTTTGTTGCAGGCCCTGATACACTGCTTGAGCTTTGAGGTACAAGCATGGGGTATGTCCAATGTGTGAATGTGAAGAGTTGACCTCATCTGATCGCCAAAACCGGGTCTTCAGCCCTCTCCTTCACTCCAGTCTCGAAGATGATCGCGACATGAAACGCCTCCAAGGTCAAGGCACTACGGCATTGCAAGAGCCCAGGCAGGCCGTCAGAGCTCGTCGTCTTCGTGGAAGTTGCTGGCAGCGACTCATACTTCTCTCTTGCACTGGCAAACCAGGACTGCGGAGTATCCCTCGGTGAGCCGGTACAGAAACATTTTGAATATGCTGGCCTCCTCTGAACCCGCGAGCCCAGTCCCACCAGACTTACAACTTGCCGCCTTGTCCGTCTGGTCCCTTCACCCTTTGTCTCCGGAGCTGGGGCACATGTGTAGAAGCGGTCTGTATTCTTGAAAGGCTCACCAACACGCGCTTCACGCGAATGGCGCAGCGCCCAGCCTGCTTTCATGTTGCTCGCGGCAAGTCACGGAATCTAGCGTAGACAGGCTTTCCTGGATTGCCGGGCGAATTCAAAAAAGCTTGTTTAGAAATTTATAATCCTCCACCCTGTCTGGTTGCATTTCCTTCAATGCTTTCCTCCGTGTCCTTCTGTTGCGCTTGCAGTATTCATGAGCGTCGATTCTTCGTATTGTTGTTGTGACTGTTTCCGTCCGGGGTTGGATGCTCTGTTTCGCTTCCGGTTCATCAGGCCTAGGCCACATAGCTTTCGAGCCTGCCGCATGCATCCTGAAACTGAAATTGTTTCTTGACGCGAGAGGCAATGGATGCGGCGCTCCTGGACGAGCGGCTGACTCCTGCCAAGGCGGATCCCAGCCATTGCTTGAGCACAATGTCTGCTCTGTTTGAAAGCGCCATGCGCAGCACGGGCAGGTCGACGTCACGTTCAGCCGCGTGACTCCGGCTAAGTCTCATCATATCGTAGTGCGATCAGGAAATGACCTGAAGGGTTGCCCGCATCCCGCTGTGCTCGTGCCAGGTTTGCGGAAGTTCCCCGCACATGTTACTCACGCAGTTTCGTGATGCGATGGTCCGGCTAGCTGCCATCAAGTACCCATCTCTGCCGAGAACGGAGGCGGTTGAGTTCTTGCAGCTTGCGTCTGACCCGTAGACGCAGCCGACACAGGCGGTGATGCAGCTTTACCAGAAGCACTTGGCCACTTTTCAGGGCACGACCAAAGGCACCATGCTCGAACAATCGAGTGTGCACGGCATTGGATACTGGATGTGCTCCCTCGTTTCCGATAGTTCGAGACTCTTCCAAGGAGTCGTGGCCGAGCTGGACCAAGCTATGCTCAGCCTACTTGGGGCAGCGAGGCGACGAGCTCTGCCGGTATCAGTGTGGGACGCGATGCAAGGACAACCTCTCTGCGCCCTCTGCAGCTCATAGCCAGCTCCCGGGAACTCGGGAAGCTTTTGCCGGCCAGCAGGGCTCAGCATGGACCAATGGACAACCTACAAGCCGATTTGGCCCCCTGGCCCCCCTCGCAAGTGTCAGAAAGAGTTAGAGGATTTAGAGGCTGCATCTACACACAGAGCCAGCAGCATCAGCACATGTCAGCACGCACAGCTACAGGTTTGTAGACACTGCCAGACCGGCCTCCTGCACGCTGCCATGGCTGCAATCGACGCACAGCGTCCCTTGCCATTCGTAGCTCAATGCTGGCTTTTTCGCTGCCATGACGAACAGAGTTCTCAGGAACGGGCTTGAAGTTCGTGGATCCCGAAGCATTCGTGGAGCAGGAGTTCCGTCTGCATCGAAACCCCAGGCAATCGACTCACGCGCACGCACGCACAGACAGGTGCGCTTTCGTGCGTGTGGTTTGCATTGTGAAGATGTGCCTATGGACAGCCGCCGGGAAGCAGCAGCACAGTGCGGAGTGCCGAAGGGATCCTCCGTTCAGGAGTTGTGGTGGGACCTGGCGAAGACCTTCGTCGCTCCGATTCCGAGCACAGTGGCAGAGCTCGAGCCGATAAAGCAGCGAATGCGCCGCTTCACAGCATTCTTTTGGAGGGATCGGCGGCTGAGTGATGGTGAATGGCTCGAGATAGTGAGAAACCGGGAGAGTCACTGAATCTGCTCGCGGAATGAGTGCCGGGCTTTGGGACTGATGAGGTACCGATCGCAGCTATGCGCTATCGATTCTGCAGGATGTTGCGAAGTGCAGCTACAGCTGGCAGATGACGCAGTACTTGAGCCAGGTGGCTGCGTCCTTTCTCATGCACCTCTCCTCGTTGTGCCAATTGTCGCTTCAACGTTTTGCAACAGAGTGGAGAGTTCAGGACCTATCTTACATGCGGAAGTTAGCAGGAAAATACTAATTGCTAGTAGCAGACGCTGTTTGTACAGAGGAGCTCAAAGATGACAGAACCTTGGCCTCAAACTGAAATTCGGAAGTCAAGCAAGGAGAGTTTTCTCGTGTGTCACCGGATGTTTTTGTGCGATCGGACAGCGGCAGCGTGGTTGAGCACTGAAACGGTGATGGGTGTTGCAGTCGATTTCATTTTGGTGCAAGAAGTTGACGCTCTGCACAGTCTGCAGCTCAGGGGAAATCTTTCTCGCCGCAATCAGCCAACCGGAAGGCCAGGACACCTGAGAGAGCAAAGGGATCCAGGACAGTACTGAGTCCCAGAAGCATTCACCAGAACGTCGTCATGCAAAGTGCAGACAGAAACTTAGGGCAGTTTTTGGCCGACCGTTAGCTCTCAGAAGTCATGTCAGTAGCGGACCTTGCCTGCACAGGCTGGAAGTGCCTGAAATTCGCTTCACAGCTGCTGGCCAGCACAATTCAGGGTTTCGCAGAAGTATCTCCCGAATCCAGAAGAGGGATGCGAGCACCGTTAAAAGCTACAAGCTACGGGGCAGCGAGGTGACGCTGTTTCCCTTTGCATGAACCAAGCCGAGCCAGCGAAGCCGAAACTGTCAGACATCGCCACCCTTGGAGCGCAAAGTGAATAGTGCTCTGTCTTCTGGCAGAGCCTTGAAAGCTGGACCTCTCAAGCTTGAAGCCTTGAAGACCAATCTCAAAGTGCACTTGCCCTCGGCCTGCCGATACTCCTGGCTGTGATGCGAGGTCGGTCCGCAACGATGCGAGTGTGTGTCACGAGGCGCGCTTGTTAGAACGTAACTAGAACATAGTCCATCGGCAGACATTAAGGCATGCAGAATCTTAGGCTTGAGAGAGCTGTCTGCAACAAGTTGGCCTCGAGCTTCTACATGATAGGATAGAGGGAGCTTCCAAACGAGTGAGGCTGTCTCGAGAAACGTTGCCGCCCTGGAGTTCATTGCGGGCCGTTTTCGTCAGGATGGCCGCTTGACAGCTCTCGGGAAAGCTTCGGCCTGCCTCTCCGCCTCTCCCTCCTGGCCTCAAGGTAGAATCCTCTCCATGTGGCTCTCCATCGCGCTGCAGAAGGCGAATCAGAAGCTCGAGACTCGACGGCAGCGATTGCGGTGAATGCGAGCTTCTTGCTACTGACTGCTATGGGTTCGTGCGGTGTGTCGGAAGAGCTGAGCCGAGGAGAATAAGTTCGAGAAGCACTGGAACAAGGCGAGTCGGCCCAATGCACCCAGGAAACGAGCCGCTGGGCGACATCTTGGCTGAAAGCATTCGAAGTTGTGGTGGCTTCTTCATTTTCTTGGACGGCTTGGCCTCAGATTACAACGAGCTTACATACATATTACATATCGACATACATTGCCTTACATTACCTTGCCTCGCATTACATCACAATACGCTGCATCTACACTACACAACACTACGCTACATTACGCTATGTTACGCTGCATTACGCTACATTGCACTACGTTGCACTATACTACATCATATCACGTCACATCACATTCTGTGAGTAATGTATGAATGTATGAATGTACGATTGGATGTATGTATGTATGCATGCATGCTTGCATGCATGCACGTATGTATGTATGTATGTATGTATGTATGTATGTATGTATGTACGTATGCATGTCTGTGTGCAAGTATGTATTTTGTAAGCATATTTTGAGGTTATGCCCAAGAGCCACACCTTTTCTTCTACTGTTCCTGCAACGTGCTCTTCTATTTCACCTCCTGTTATTTCCGGTTCGAGATATGTTGAACGCAAGTGAGACTACAAACGGATTCCGTTTGAGTTTCCGGGCGAGGTCCATTGGCATGAATCATCAGTTTTGCCTCTCATACCTCGGAGAAGCTAGCTCCACTATCTTTCAGCGAACGATAAAGAGTCTTCATCCAAGAGAGGGTGCTCCTTCTCGAAACAATAACTTAGGAATCTTTGTTATCTCACAGCCCCACCCCTACATACAGGTTTTGGACATAAGCAAGGCATCCGGCGCTCCGCCCAGCGAAGCTCAACGGAGACTAACACGAAGCAAAAGATCTCAAGCGCATAAGTTCAGTCGATGGTGCGGCATTCCTAGTATGGCTTATATATATATATATATATATAAATACACATACACACATACAGATCCAAGCACACACACACATACATGCACGCATGGTGTAATGTATGCACTACACTTTAAGCGAAGTCTGGCGGACAAACATCATGCTAGGTTTGGACAGCTAAGGTGCGGGCGCAGGAGACTGAGAATGCCAACATGGACCGCGTGGTTCCCATTGCAGCGTTGTGCGTCCAATGTGGAAGCAGGTGCACGACTGTTTCTATTCTCGTTACTGCTTCCACTCTTGTCTTGCTGGTCTCTCATCACCACCGAGCAACACCCTTCAACTTGGCTTGGCTCTCGGCTTGTGTGAAAGAGAGCTGTGTCGGGTTCACAGAGCCTTGTCGGTGCCGCCGGCATTGTATTATGGCACAAGACGGAGAAGTGTGTAGAAGACTTTAACAGAATGGTAACGCAAGTAGGTCGGAGCAGCACAAGACAAGCAGCAACGTATTGTGGTAGTGGTAGGCACCGAAACAGAAAAAGCATGGCCTACTGTTGAATGGTATGTGCGTACTGGGATGCAACAGTGTCGATACAAAGTGATGTATCCGCACACGCCAACATAGTCTTTGATAGATCAGAACATGGCGGAAACGACCGCAGTAATCGATTCCATATAGTGTACCAAGGTACACAGCAAAGCCTTGTGAGCATGTGTAAACAAGGATGGTTGGGTAGGGACTACGCATGTCTGAAATTGAAGGTCTGCCATGATGGCTTTTATGCTCGAATGCAGGGCCTTGTGTTCTTTTGCTTTCCTTTCAGTCATGCTGCATCCTCCGAGCGGCTCATTTGATTGCAGTGCATACTCATGTATATGCATGTACGCCTGACCACGTGCAGGCACACTGTCGCACACAGGACCACAGTAAAGCGTCGGATGACATACTATCTGTTTCCTAGCATGTGGCTTACGAGCATGCATGATAGCAGCCTCTCAGACACGTATGTATGCCCGTAGCATATGCGCATGGCATGTCTGTCTGTCTGTATGTATGTATGCATGCATGCATGCATGCATGCGGGTGTGCACGTATGTATGCATGTATGTATGGATGGATGGATAAGTGTATGTATGAATGTATGTATGTATGTATGTATGTATGTATGAATGATGTATGTATGAATGATGTATGTATGTATGTATGTATGTATGTATGTATGTATGTATGTATGTATGTTTGCATGCACACTTGCATGCTTACCTGCGTTCGTGCCTGTCTGTCTGTATCTAGGTCCTGCCTGCGTTTGTGTATGTGGCTGGCCGAAAGGTCCTTAAGCCAAAGTCTATATGAAAGGCCAACTCCATAGCTGAATATTTGCCTCGAAAGTTCCTAGATGGTGCATTTTTCCGGGCGAAAGCAATTTTTTGGCCGACTTGCCATAATAATAATACTGCTGCTGCTGCTGCTACTACTACTACCACCACTACTACTGCTACTGCTACTGCCACCGCTACTGCTAGTGCTACTGCTACTACTACTACTACTACTACTACCACCACCACCAGCACTCATGCTATTGCTTCTGCCACTGCAATCGCTGTTGCTACTCGTGCTGTGGCTGCTGCTACAGCCAGCCGCCAAAATTAGGTTCCCGTACAGAGTCTAGCGCGTAAGTTCCGCGTAAGTCGTTAAAGTCGACGCAGCCAGATCTAGGTCAGGTTGTACGAACCTCAAGAATTCAACCCTTAAGACGGCCCTTGGCCAGCCCTTTCCAACTGTTGTAGCATTGTGGCTTTTATGCAGCCCTGAAACCAGCCTCCCAGAAGCGCTTAACTATGCCCGTGACAGTTTGCGATCGAGAAGCTTTGCATAAGCCCAGTAGTTAAGCCACCTTCCAGAAGCCTTTGCAGAACCTTGAGAAGCTTGTACACATGCTTTGAGAAGCCCGTAGCAGGAGAGGCTTGAAAAGCCGTTATAGGGCCTGTACGAAGTTCCAAGTAGTCTCTCAGACGGGTTTGGCAGGCCACTGGTCGAAAAGTTCTGCTTCAGTTGGGGCTTATCAGGAGTTCAGCGATGGTGTTCGGCAAAAATATTTTTTTTTTTACGCGGAATCTTGAGCAACACCCATGTATGTCAATGTATGTATGTATGTATGTATGTATGTATGTATGTATGTATGTATGTATGTACGTAGGCGTGTATGTGTGTATGTGTTTATGTATGTATGCACGCATATGCGTATGCATGTGTATGTCCATTGTGATGTCCGTGACAGTAACATGATACAGGTGATACCAAGTCAGAAAGCTATGACAGATACTTTCATGATGCTGATGCTGACGGATCCGCTGGTGCTGACTGCTGACGATGATGGTCATGACGATGATGCTGACATTCATGATGTTTAGAATGATGATGATGATGATGATGATGATGATGAGTGCTGCCGCAGCATGGAATGTATCTCTGCCGTGTTGAGCCGCATCGGATTCCATCAGTGCATCCAGTGTGGTGGTGGAGGTGCATTTTGGTCTCCATGGGGTTCTACGTTCCTGCACCTGAGCAGCACAGGTCTGTAAAGTCCAACTTTCCAGAGCGAGTGGAATAATGAGGCCAGCAGAACGGCCTTTGCAGAGATCAAATACCCGGGCGTCAAGGTCAAGTGTCTTGGCTTGAGAGGAACATGTGACGCTAGTCATGCAAAGGGGGATAGAAGCAGAAAGCACAACAAGAAGTTGGCCAGAGCGGCTCATGCCAAAGCGCCTGCAAAAGGAAGCTCACATTTTCGCATAAATTTACTTGAGGCTGATCGCATCATACAGTCATGCGCTTCCCTATCGGATGGCAACTTTCGGGAAGTGTGCATCACTGTACAAGAGCCCGAATATTGATAATTCTAGTGATGCTGCCTGCTATATTTCCCATTCTGCAGGCATGGGGAGTCACCCTACGATGCTGCTGCAAGGCTTTGCAAGAGCAGGAGCGTCCGCCCGGCTTGCAGGAATAGGCTCTGTTCTTCGCTTCCCTGGGGCCGCCTGCCAAGTGCACAGACATGCCGGCGAGAGGAAGTCATAGGCTGCATGCTAAGAGGCATGCAGTGTGCAGTCCTTGCTTCATTGCGTCAGAGGCTCACGCCGCTCTCAGACTTCATCCAGGTGGAAGCAACATCTTTCGAGGCGAAGGAAGAGGAGGCCCGACAAGTGACACTCACAAAACGCAAAAACATGTGTCCAGCATTGTAAACATGGGAGGACATCTCAAAACGCACCGGGCTGCCGTCCCGGTATTTGAGAAGCATCTTCCGAGGGCACATGAGCCCTCTTGTCCCTTGGTGCAGACTGGTCGAAGACTCGGCTGTGATTGGGGTCTCCTCAGCCACACAGCATCTGAACAGTGCACCAAGGTACCCTGGGGCGATCACATGCAGTTCATTCCCAGCCGGTCATCGAGCACCATGAGGCTTACATCTAAGCAGAGCAGTCTGGCACGCCGCTTCCTTCGAGCTCACCCCTTGTCCCTGGGCGGAATATCGTAAGAACATCGCAAGCGCAGTCTGTGGCCAGAGGTTGACAGCCGAGGTCGCCGGCACTTTGTCCAGACCTCTTTGCGTTGAAGCAGGAGCCGCTGTGAGCCCGAGCACATCTCCTGAAGAGGGTCTTCGTGGATTTCACAGGACCTCGAAAGCCCGGAGATCACGCTGTACGCCTGGACGCTGGCACGCATTCAGAAATGTTACGGCACTCTTCAAAAAAGAAAGGCAGCGTTCCTCACGGTATGTACGGCCAGCTGCTGTGGAATTGCGCACCTGTGGTGAAGCTTCTACTTTGAAACAGGTCTGCTGTGCGCCTAGCAATTCCAACTGCATGCCGACAACGCTTAAAACTACCCTCTTTCTATTCTCGCATCCAGGATGCCAGCGTGGGAGTTCGAGTACCTGCGATACACCGCGCAGGGCGAGGCTTTGGTGGACTACTGGGTCCAACATGGTCTCCTTGGGTGCATTTAAAGAGTTGCAGGGTTCTCTTCACGGTACCATCGACACCTTCGACCCCTCGCGAAAGAAGTATGCCAACGACAGAGTTCCTTGTTGACCCGAATTACCATTTGCTGCCTTTTCGAGGTGATTACTCTGTGTTGCACACAGACGGAAGTGCTCAGCGCTGCTTCACGCCAGTTGCTTGTCTATTAGGAAGTCCTTGTGTAAGCGATCACCAGAACCCGAGGACGAGGGCTTGAATCGCTAATGCTGATGAGTACACAGCATGTAAAGAGGAACGTTGACAAACGTTGTTGCGTAGCATTTTCCATCGGTCCAGTTTTCACCTGGTGTGTTGGACGCGAGCACAGTACATTGCATCAGTAGGTTCGTCCTCTCCAAGAGATTCTTGCCATTTAGAGGCGAGAGAGTGCTTGATTCTGTCAAAGGACGGAGTCAGTCGAAATGAAAGAGGCGCATAAAGTAGAGTTTGTGTTGGGTTTGGTGAGTGTGGAGGGCTCCTTAGGAAAGATGTAGGAGCATGGATATCTTGTGTGCGATTTACCAGGAGACCAAGAATGCAAGACAATGCAAGCCTTTCTTCCTGATTTGAACAAGGCAAATTTTCAAGAGGTAGCCAGATGCATGATTGCGGTCGGATGGCTGCAGCAACATTGCTGTCTTGAAAGTCAGCACCACTGCCACACTGAAGGTGACTGCGCGGCCCAGGGCCGTGAAGCAGACGGTGACGAGCAGGCAGCTTGAGGATTTCGGGAGGTTGGGAATGTATTGGGTTCACCGTTTGCTGAGGCGGGCAGGAGTTGTACTTACAGAAGACTGAGGAGGGGTCAATGCTGCATTGCATGATGATGAATGAACGGATGGGTAGAAGCGACGCACCACAAAGCCACAAAGCACCCTAACCAACCCCTGAGCAATTTTTCTTCCAAGGCCCAATGAGGAAAGCCACAGCAAAAGTCCTAGAAAAAGAAGCCCAAAACCCTAAATCCATTGAGCCAGGAACATATTGTCGGGTCAGCGACTCACCCAGATCGCCAAGACCCTCACTTCTCGCAGGGACCGCTGGATGTGGGGCTTGCTCAGATTTTCATGCGGTATGGCGATGTGATCTATAGCGGCAGGTGTGCAGGTTATACGGGAGTTCCGCTGTTGGAGAGGTTTGGACGGTGTTGCCAAGCTGAGCAACGGCAAGTCAACCTAGAAAGCTTCGCCACAGGAGAATGCGGCGCGGACGTACAATCGCGTGTCGGTTCTGAATCCGGAGCAGCACTGATGCTTCGCTATTTCTCGAATTTCCTTTCCCCCGCAGGACCCGTACCACAGACTTGCCGTAGAGTTGCGGTGCCCAATCCTCCGAATCAAGACCTGTGAGTAGTCGACAACACGGATATGGAAACTGATAACAGTATTGACAGTACTGAACTCGTAGGATTAGGTAGTGGCGGCATCAAGCCACATGTGTTAACGCATTGCGCATGCAGCTGCATCAGGAATCCTCCGGTCCCATAGATGGAAGCACCGACAGAGGTCGACTTGGAAAGTATGACAGTCGTGCATACCAAATCGTGTGGATGTAGGTTGAACTGACATGGTGGGTTGGAACCCTGATGTGCAGCCTGTGCAGCCGTGGAATGAGGGACCAAAGTGTCCCGGAAGCAAAGTGATGCTCTGCTTCTTTGCCCCGGTGGGCTTGACAGGATGAGCTTTGGTTTTGTCATGGAGCCCCGAACGGGGCTTCCGTGACTCTTGAGGATAGCCGCAGGCAGCTGCGAGTACCAAGCCAAAAGCGCGAGATGCCCCCACACGAGCCGACCTGCATTCTTCTCTTCTCAGCTTAACGTTTCAATTGCCAACGGAGGCCAGCGCTCCTGGTCCTCTACGAGGTGCAAGCTGAAGCTTGTTGCCTGCACTTTCACAAGCGAAGCGATCATCGTGTGTCAGGGTTACTTCGGCGCGATGGGGCAGTTGCCTCAGCAAAGCTTTCGACAAACGGCGAGTGACTGACACTAGTTGGCATATTAATGACTGAGGTAGACTCTAAACTCTAAACATATCTGTCGCAGAAGGGCAGAATGCACGGTCCACACGTTCATAGTATCATGGTTCCCACTAGAGTTGCCACGAGTAGGCCGTCCCATGATACAAACAAGAACACCGACAATCAAAAACAAACAAATGCAGGACATTCCACTGTAAGTGCCTGAGGCGGCAAGCAGTGGCAACAGGAGGAACGAAAGGCGGGCTGCGGATTCTCCTCTTGACAGCCTGACAGTGGCAACAAGAACATCACAGTAAGAGCAACCATCGTAATGGCAACATGCCCTGCTGTTGTAGGTATACACGACGATTGACGCCCATCACTACTACTGCTACTTGTACTACTGGTACTACTAGTACCACTAGTACTAGTGCGAGTATGACGACGGCTACACCTACGATTTTTAAACGACTGCGACGTCGACTGCTGCTGCTCCTCCGACGATGATTACGACCTCTCCGACGACGGTGGCCACGCCGACTGCGACGAAAACGAATCAACGTGACAACAGCAGGAACGGCAGTCTTTAGTCTTGCCGTCTCGCAATGGCACAATGGCATAATGTCTGTGAACCGCAACAATGGTGGCAAGGGTAAACGCGGTTGAAGACGGGTGCACTTGCCTCGGGAGGCCGCAGTCAGAAGGATGCAAGGGCATCCCTGAAGCAGTCTTCGTTGGCGATGGACCCAGAAATCGGTAGTAAGCGGTAGAGTGTCTTTGATGGATCCGCACTGATTTCTGATTCGGCGCTTGGTTGTGTCTTTAAGCTCGTTGGTGCGCTTGTGCCACCTCCTTGCGGTTACGAGTCAGCAGCTCATAGATTGCAATGCAGCTCCCAAGCCTTACCATGCAGCAATCGTCACGAAGCTTGAACCATTGATCTGACCTTCTGCCCTATGAGCAGCCTGCATCGTGACTAAAGCAGAAAGAGACATGCTTCCCGACCTGAGGGTAATTGCAACGAAGAGTCAACACCCTCCCATCCAGGCAAACAACAACTGATCAAAGCAATTCATCCTATCATATTTCATAGTATTGGGCGTCTGAGCTTCTCCATGAGCGCCCTCCGGCCATGCGGCTGCGCACTTGCAGCCGTGGCTCTGGGCCAACGTCGCGAATCGGTGCGGCTGAAGAATCTTGCGAATTGTTCTAGACAACCTTTTGAACCGGCAACCGCAGGGTCCTTTTTTACTAGACTGAAGCTTGGGAGCAGTGGCTTTGATTTCGTATCCCCTTCGCTTGAGACCAGCAGCGGGCAGGCGAGCAAGTGCTCTGCTCCCTCCGAGACGCCTTGCGCGAGATTTGTGGAAGCGAAGCCGCTTGCAGTGAAGGCTAACGTGCAGCATGTAAGGCCTCCCACGGCTCTGAACCATTGAGCCACGAACTTGAGCTCAGGTTCATGGGACTCCACAAAAAGGGCTTTGTAAGACAAGGAGACTGGACCCTTGAGCTGCATGCAGAGCAAGCGCTGTTAGTCTTCAGACCCTGAGACCGCTGGCATGGACATCGCAAGTCAGCGCATCATTGTTCGAAAGTATGTACTGAGGCATCCTGTTACGCTGTGGCCGCCGCTAAGCTTTAGCAGCGTTTGGCAGACCGGCCGCTACTTTGCCAACTTAGTGCGGCCTTCTGCACCGTGGCAGAATCAAGTTTGCACAGTGTCCGAAGTATTCCTCGAGCAATCTGGAGTGATGGGACGCATGGCGAGTCTTGGAATGTGGCCCAGCAGATCGTTCAAAATGAGTTGGGTCTGGATTGCCCAAACTAGAATTCTGACTCAGCTCCGGACTGTCGGCTCCTGGAGTCAGCCCTCGGAGTCCCTGGTGCATCCATGCTCGACACCGCACATAGCCAGATCATTTGGTCAGCGTCGGCTGGTTAGTTTCGCTGCGTGCATTAGCATAGGATGCTCCTTCACTTAAACCAAGCCTATAAGGCTTCGTTCTCTTGCTTGATCCTGGCTCCAGGTAGCGGTCAAGGTGTTCAATGCCAGGGAGCAGGAGGCTATCGAGGGACTGTCGCCACTTTGCCTGAACAGATATTTCGGTTATATTCGGCTTTTGTGGAGCTGGGTCGGATGTTGCAATATTGGCTTTGCTAGTGACTGCTAGTGTCGGCGTTTGAGCCCGAGCACCAGTCTGAGCATCGCCATCCGGACAGAGGAAGCGGGAGTTCTTCGAGAAGTACGGCTTCGTGCTCTTGCGGCGACCTACAAAAATGCAGGTGGATTGCGGAAGTTGGCCTCAATGTTCAGCATCCCCAATCCTTTAGCATGCCTGTGTTGCACATGTGCTAGGTAAGCTGAAGGGCAGGCGATGTGTCATGATTCCCCGTGGGCGCCGCTTCAGGCCGAGGATTGGACCAACTGTGCACCGAAAACGCTGGACCTCTCCAACTTCACAGGTTCGAGCATGGGTCGAGTCGACAGCATAAGGGCCGTTCGGCCCTGACATTGTTCTTGCAGGCATGGGGATGCCAAAGATTGAGACTGCGATCTCACGCATCTATGCCAAGGAGGTGGAGGAGATGGTCAGGCGGGCTTGTTCCGGTACACTCTGGTTTCCAGCCGTGAGTCTCTGCAGGGAGCTGATGCCGGCCGCCACCTTTGTGGAGCTGGCGCCGTGGATAGTCTTAGTCCAGTGCTCTCTTTAGAACGCTTACACATCGGGGACGTCAATACCGGGGAATGTTCCGCAAACCTTGCCGGTGCAGATGAGGATCCGCTCTGTGCACGGCGCGGCCCGGGCACAAAGAATCCGACATACTCTTTCGCCGTGCATCAGGTGCGGGCTTCTGTAGTGCACGTGTGAGAGCACAGGTCAGCGGAGTGTGCTCTGATGTCACGAGGACTACGGCTACACAGCCGACGACTGGCCGCTGGCGGACAACGGCTTCAAAGCTCGCTTTGACGAGCCGAATGTCACGGGTGCCTCTGCATTTCGGATGGTACTGGTAATCGTACTGGTCATCGTAGATTCGCAGACGTTGCTCGATCGTGGTCCAGGTTTCATGGCCGTGAACTTCTGGCGGCCTGTGCTCCCGATGAAAGGCGTCGTCGCGCAGCGCAGTTCGCAGGTCGCAGGCGGTCCATGCAGCCCTACGCGAGCAGGACCGGTGAAGAAAGCGCCGCTGGCGGTCTGCGATCCCAGAAGCGTGAAGATGGAGGCCTCGGGACTCTAAGCTGCCGCCTTCCTTGAGCCGTGCGACGTACGAAGGACACAGTGCCCATCAACATCCGCTGGGACGAGCTGGGGTATGTGAAGATGCTAGCTCTGGCTCATGATGGCGACCAGCGCTGGTACTACTATCCGGACTCCAAGTCCGGCGTTTGCGTGTCCGTCATGCCACGTGCGCGTCGGAATCACTTGCACGGGCCTGATCAGGACATGACCGTGGACGAGGTCCTCGTCTTCAAGTCCTTCCAGTACTTCAAGCGCAAGCACGGCAGATTGACAGAGGGGGTTGGGGGGGAGAGCCCACAGCTGCATGGTACGGACCCGCCGAGGCCAGGAGGGCCGGCCGGAGCTGAACACCTGCTTCCACACCGCCTTCGAGGATCCGACGGTGCGCGGTGCCCTGCGGTGCCGCTTTGCTCCGCTTGCACTCTGCCTGATGGCACAGTCGAGTGACAGGCGCCGCCCAACGCCGAGCCACGGCAGAGCGCAGAGTACCGGGTGCGTGTCTGGCCAGACGCCCCAAAGAGTTGTCGAGCATGCAATGCATTCTTGCAGCGCCACCTTTCTGCAGAGACCTCGCCCTCGCAAGGTTCTGACGCTTTCGCGCGCCACGGACGCCGCGAGACGCACGGGAGTCGTGCAAAAAGCCTATGCAGCAAGAGCCCGACCGCCGCACGCATCCGGATGCGCGGGCGGGATACGGCAGGAGAGAGCCATGTCCGACCAATCGCAGTTTGTGTCGTCGCCGTTTTCTTCTCAGGTGATGTCAGCCCGCTTGATAGGGCTGATACCCCGTCAGGAAAGTTGAATTTGAGAATCCCGTCCACCATGCTGGCATCCAGCATGATGTAGAAGGAGTGAATCCCAGGTTTGAAATTCTGCTCTGAGCCAGAGTTTCTCGTTCTGAGAACACTCGAGAGGTGGACGGGGAAGTAGCGAATTTATTTTTTCTTTCTGCCTGATCGTCTTCTTTCACACCTCAACGCAACAGCTGGCAGCCTAGCTGTGCCTGAGAATGCTACGGGACTCTGCAGAAGTCATAACAAAGCTTGTGCAGCGTGAGACTTCACCAGCTGGGGCTCAGATGCAGCCTGGCACAAGGTCCACACATGGCGCTGGCTTCTGCTCTGACGGAGAAGAGCCTGGCCAAGTTTCGTCCGCATCTCAGCCTGGCGCACAGCCTTCAACCGGAAGCCGGAGCCTTGTCAGCTGAGCTCCATGGCAATACAGCAGTGGATGACAGATTCTGCTGAATGGGCGGATGCTTACAAACTCAAGCTGGCAATGATGGGCACTCTCCCACAGCACATTGTAGTCTCTTCATGACCAGAAGATGTCGGTGAAACCGAAGACAGGCTTGTCACTTTCATGTCATGTTCGGTCCTTGCATCTCTCAGTGACGCTGCTCGTGACGGCTGCACTCTCACGTTGTGTTGCTCTGGATGCTGCTTGGCCAAGGCACGAAACCCTGCGAGAGGCTCCTCACGAAGAACGAGTGTAGCTTTGGAGACCGCTGTCAGTACGCGCACTCTGCTGCTGGGCAGCAATTCGGACTCGTGCTCCCCGTGTTATCTAAGCAGCCGATGTGCTCTTTGAAGACTTAGCCTCGCTTGCCATTTTTCTTCCAATCGGGGACATTGGGCCGCAGTGCCAAATAGCCAGTTTGGGGCCCCTCGGCCGCCCTCGGCCCCTCGGGCCATATACGAGGCTCCTTCCGTACGGTTGCGCTTGAGCCGAAGGTGCCACGGCGCAACCCGAAAAACGCCGGACACACAGATCAGCGGGCGAGAGGAGAGAGGAAAGGGAGCTCATGGCCTCGGGGCGATCTTCCGGTCGCGAGGTCTCCTACTCGCCGGAAATGTGTTCTTCACCTGCGACATGCCACCTCGGAGACGCATGTCCGAAGGCCACTACCAATAAGCGCCAGCCCATTCTCTGCGAATCGTCTTGTCCTGTGCAGTATTGGCTAGCTATGTTTCGTTCTCTATTCCCCAACTGGTTACGGAAAAGAGGCCACTGCAAGACGCTTACCCTAGACTTGCCAGCAATCCCTACGAACTCAGAAGAGCGTCCCGGGACCAGGCGCACACCGTGGAGGAGCCGTGCACACTGGGGGACTTTCGCGTGGCTTTTGAAGTTGTGTTCAGGGGGGCCAGCTGCCATGCGATCCATGTCAGATGTGGGCTTCTGCGACTTCACAGAAGTGAGAGCATGAGCCCGGCCCAGGAGTGCCTGTATCATCCCACCATGTACCGCACGCAACTATGTCCGGAGAAGTAGCTCGACAGATTTGGCCAGAGACGCAGATGGAGATGTCGCACAGTGCTTGTAAACACAGTGCGATGCACACTGCATATTGGAGCTGCCAAGACGTGTGCATGCACGACTCGTCTAGAGTTGGCAAACGGAGTCTTTGGTTCCATGAATGCAGCTCTGCCTCTCGCAAGATCTAAGAGCCGCTGAGGACAAGGCCCAGTGTTTCGTTTTTGGCTGAGGAAGCAGTGCACCGTGTTCTACTGCCCCCACGCTCATGCCGAAGAAGAGCTTCGTGGCGACGCTTGCCTGCAAGCTTGAGGCCCCGGAAACCTACAGTAAATTGGACCCGTGGCGGGACTCAAGTTGAGGAGTTCGCTCCTCCAGCTCTGGCCCTCCCGGCTCCGTTACAAACTTCGACGAGATCGTCTGGGCCCTTGCAGCCGGGCATGGTGAGATGCGAGGACCCGTAGACGCCGTGCATCGCCGTGCTCTGGCGCATGGGCTCTGGGGGAGCTCCGCCATGGCCAGGACCCGCCGAGGTGGTGGCCGGCTGGGGACCAGAAAGATCTGCACGTCCGAAATTCCGGTGAGGCCTCGACCGGAATCAGTGCTCGAAGCGGGGCGCAGCGGGGCAGCGGCCGAGCCTTTCAGGTGCCACCGTTGCAGTCCTACGGATTCGAGCTTTGCGGTGGCCTGGTGCGGCCGGCAAAGTATGTGCCTGACGCAGGTTCTGAGCTTGTCTGAGCATGTCTGAGCCTGTCGATTCTGCGGTGGCCCATCATGTTGTGCTGACCGGAGGGCTGGAGGCGCAGCCCTGCTTTGCTAAACTGCTTTCGACATCCAGGACTGTTCGGCATGCCTAGCGCCTAGAACAGCTTAGATTCCATGTCTGCTCTCCTGGCATAGTGTGCCCGGATTCGTCCTCGTGCTGCGGTGATTCAGGAGCGAAAGCCAGCTGGCAAATCGTGTGGTCAAAGATCTGAAGTGCCTTTGACTTGACAGGCAGTGCAGTACGAACTCTTTGGCTTGGATCCCACAGCTACTGTATCAAATTTGGTAGCGGTATCCATGTGGCTGCTGCCCGTGCTTCGTCGTACATCGCAGGTGGTCTAACGCAGGTGGTCTAACGAGGACATGATGCCGTGTCCATGTCGGCATCCTTACTACATGGGATGACCGACACATTTCCCGAGGCGCTGGCTGTCCAAAACGCCACTTCCAGCACCATTCTTCCTTCGCCGAACTGTCGTGCGGGTCCTATTTTGTCGCGTGCGCTCTTGTCAAAGCCACCCCATACGGAGATAACGCAATGCCAGTGTACTGTTCCGATACGTGATCTTTATCCAACCCAGGCCACCACAGCCTTGGCGGTGCCGTCGCATTTCCGAGTTTTGGGCAAGACCTTGGAGTCCCTGCCAAATGGCGCCTTGGCGTCAAGCGGACACCATTGCGTGGCCCCGCTGCTCAAGTCTAAGGAGTGCTGCAGGAGGCACGCAAGTGCTGGGCTGTGACGCAGCTGGTCGCAAAATGGATCCGACAGTGCCTGGGCTCATAGATTCCCAGAGCTGACGGCGAGTCGGAGGCGTTCAGGATGCGAGTCGCAACCAGTGAGATGCAGTAAGGCTGGTCACCGGCTTGGAGGCGCTCCATGATCTTGACATTGCGTGGCTGGGACTGTCCAACAGGCTTTGCATTCAGATTCCAGGCGCTGAGATGCAGTCTCGGTAAAGTTAAAACGCACGCCTTTCTGAGGCACAGCTGCATCGGTCCAAGCACGATTTTGGTTGGGCCCGGTGTTGGTGGATTGGACATACGGGTGGGCGACTTTCTGGGGAAGGCGCGGCGGGTGGGTGGAGGCGAGTGAACAGTTTGCCAGGTTTCGTGGCACCAGTTGATTCGGTCAGTTTGCAGAAGTTGATGCAGACCCCTTGGAACAGCATAACTATGCGAACTACCTGTGCATCCGTTGTTGATGGGCTGTACAAGGATGCTTTCGGTGCTTGATTGACAAGAGAGCGTCAGGTGGGAGTCGTGTTCCCGGGTCGATACCATGAGGGCGTCGCAAGGGATTGCAAGACACTGGCCTCGTAGGGTTTTTACAACAGCTTCTGCTCTCATCATCGCGATCGCAAGCACCATCGCCTATGTCATACTGGCAAAGTTTGCGACGAACCCGAATCCTCGTCTTTGTACTTGCTGCCAAGCCTGCTTGGTTGTAGCAGTATCAGGAGGTCGTGCATGCGTATGGGAGAGTAAGCAATGCTTTACTTTGCTCACCTGTCCAGGTGACGACTCTGCGGTTCTTGGAGTCGCTTGGATTCGATTCGATAACACTGGGAAATGATACAAGTTCCAAGCCTATTGAACATGTAGTTGTTGTGCTGCACAGACCGACCATGTATTGTGCGGTATCTGTGTCAGGAATGGTTGCAGCTCTCTTGATGAGTCCTGGGCCATGTGGTACCCTGCAGAGGTCCACTTGCACGTCTCGACACTTGGAAGTGCGTGGACAGTGGGAACGTCGGGACCTATATCAGGTGCCCTGTCTTTGAAACGTGCCTTTTGCAAGGACAGCGGTGCCGGCAGGAGCAACGCACTTCAGCTCAAAAACGGCCGCCCCAGCCGGGACCTGAAGACTTCTCACCTTTAGGCAGTTTAGTCTCGGCCAGATTCTTCTTACTGTGCGGTAAGCTCGATTTCAAGAGCAGGACACCCCTGTCTTTGAGGATCTCATGCGGGTGGACTCCTGGCAGCTGGGTGTGCTGATCTTCTTCTTGCTGACCGGAGCCCATCCCTTCGGGAATGTCGATTGCCCTGGACATGCTACTCGATTGCATGAGCCTGTTTGATTCGGGTGTGAGGCAACGTGAAGTGGAGTTCAATGATGTCACGCGTGGAGATCACAGGTTTGTTCGAACATCCGAGCGGGCAACGTCGTAAATCGGAAGAAACTTCAGGAACTTCCCTTGTTCGCACCTTGGTTGCAGCGTTCTTGATTCCAGGCTCAGCTCAGGCCGAAGTACTTCTCCTTCCACCTAGCATCACCCACACGCACACACTTACCCCCAAAGATGCACACAAGCTTGAAGGCTTGAAAGTGTAGATGTGACGTCATGGTCCCGAACACCGACAGTCGCCACAATTATGCCACCACTGCCACGACCAGCGATCCCGCAGAGCAGCTAATTGCCCCTATTCTGGGCTGTACTGCTCTACTAGTAGTGCAGGAAGCTGTAGTCACACTGGCACAGTTGGAGCTCGTGGACCGCCTCATCGCTTCCGAACCTCACAGGCGTCTCAAGGCCGACTCTTGAGAGGCGAGCCGAGCTCGGCGCCTCGAACGTTCGCTGAAGTGCCAAGGTCTCGCAGGTTTCGTGTCACCCCGTCTTCTGGGACCTCCAAGAGGCACGGCACCTCGCTGCGCTACGTATCCGCTACGTGCTCGGGATTCCTCTTTCACCCTGGACAGTGTCACAGGGCTTCGAATTCGCCAAGCCAGTGCTGACGGATCCCCGACGAGCTCGTGAACAAGCTTCTTGGCGAAGACTGCATGGATCCGCCCGGGACATGACGGCGCGGTCACCCGCATCGCTCGCATTCACTCGCATACACAGGGCAGCTTCAAGAGCAGAGAATTCCTGGGGAGAACTGTTGATCCCCCAGAAAATTGACCTCAAAGCAACGCCGCAAAGCACTGTATATTTCCACGCCCCGAGCACGAGAGACTAGAAATACCCAGTTTGAGTACAATTGTGCAGCAAAGCAAGTGCGAGCTAAGATCGCACAGGGTGTGACGTGATGTCTATCGCTTCATATCGCTTCACTATCAGCACATATCCGGGCACGAAAGATACGAGCCGAATCGTTGCCTGCATTCGCTTCTTCCAGTGATTCAGGTGTTATCGCAGCATCCTATTTTCAGAATGACGTTCCTTGTATTCGTTGTCCATCTGTTTACCGGTGCTGCGAGACAGTGCCGGCACGAGTACATGCAGGAACTCGTGAGGTCGCAGATTCCGCAATGCACTTTCGCTGCTCCTTGTGACACCATGCCTCTACACTCTGGAAGGCAACTCTTCGATCCCCGGCTCGCCAGCATGAGCTAAGTCTGTATGCATCTGAGGAATGGCTTTACCACCTGCCCTGCTTCGCGGTTTTTGCGCCACCCACCCGTGATGCGCCCCGCATGGAACTGTGCCCCGGCTGCCAAAAAAATCAAGGACAGTCAAGCTCGTTCCAACAGGCTCAACTCGAGCGTAGCAATAACTCCTACAGAAACATGCCTCTCAGAAGTTCATGCTGTGTAATGTGGCACATCTCAGATGATGCGGCACGGTCTTGATTTTGGTATCGTGTCCAAGGCTGTCAAAGCTTTGCCAGAAAGTCCTCGACATCGGCAACAAGCGTCGAAACCCTCACAAAGGACTTGGCACTATTTGCGTGCAATTGCTGTCCGAGGCGGACGAATGCCAGTTTTTGCGCCATCGGGGCATAATAAAGAAGTCGATAGCATAACTGGTTGCCTCCCTGAAGATCGACCGTCACCGGCCGGTGCAAGCTCCTCAACATGCACCAAACAAATGTGCATCTTCACCGCCAAGTAGCATTCCACCACCACGGCCAGACGAAGCGACGTGCTCCCACCTGATTGTGCACTTGCGCGTTCGCACATGCTCACGTCCGCTCTGGCGCGGTGGCAGGTATTTCCAAGCAGGAATGCGCAGAGGGGTGGAGCTCATGGCCGGCTTCGCCCACCGCGCCTTTGTCGACTCGCTGATGCAGCCTCCACCGGGATTAGGCAGGGGCCTGGGCCAAAAAAGCACAGGGCCAGGCGGTCACCAGCTCTTGTGGAAGGTCCCAGCATCACTCAGGAGCTCCTGCTGCAGAGGTGACGGGGCGGTTGCTGCATGCTCTGCTTTCGGCAACGATGTGCCGATGTGAGCGAAGGTGCAGCTTGGCAGCCGCAGAGATGGTGCTGTACCAGCAGCAACATTGTCAGGCTCAGTACAGACAAGGACAGTGAGATCCCGGCAGCTCTGTTGTTTGGCATTTCCTCAAGTCGTGCTCTGACCGGGTCCTAGCCGGTCCGAGCCCCTTCCAGCATCTGAGACTAGAGCCCCCTCAGGACTGCACGAGATGGAACGCGAAGCACAGGACTGCCGGTGAGATAGAGAGCAGGCAGTGCTGAGACTGTCTGAATGCAGCAGGTGTTCTTCGCTCGCACTCCACTCTGGCCAGGACTGGCGCTACGGACACATTCCCCAGCAAGATTTCTCCCTCTACCATCCAGACCCGGACAGACACAGCATGCTTATGCACGAGTACGACACCTGCGCGTGGCAACGGTGCTGCACTGAGCATTGGCGTTGCTCCCTTGCATCTGTGATCGCATCTTACCGTAGGCATGGGGATCCTCGGACCTGATGGCTTCCGGTAGCACCGTGGCAGACTGCTCCACAAGCGCCCACGTCAGGTATCCCTCCACGCTTCAGCAAAGGCGAGCTGCCGAACTGTGCGCGAACTCATGCCGAGTGCTTCGAGACTCTAGCAGCAAGCACAAAAGCCGAAAACCACTGGCCTTCCAAGCGCATGGACCTATGCGAGCAGCATGCTTTTGCACCTGTTTCAGGGGTGGCGCTGGCTCTCCCAGTCGCGCTGAAGGCCAAAGGGCCCTCCCATCCCACCAAGCCCCACAGAGTTCGTTCGGATGCTTTCAGCGCCACCAACATTTTGCGACTAGATGTCGGCATTCAAGCCTGTGACCGCGGATGGAGTCATCAAGCATGGTGTGCGGGGTTGTCATCTCGCATGACAAGCTTCCATCTTGGGTTGGGAACCGGCAGAGGCGCGTCTCTGCTGGAAGCACCTCGCACGCCCGAGATGGTCCGCACAAGGCTGCTGGGATGTCCTTTCGGAATCCTTCGTCGAGGTACTAGGCGTTCGGGACACTTTACGAGGAAATAGCATCGAAACCAGAAGGCCGTAGCAAGTGCAGTAACGAGCGGCGGCAGCAGCTGTTGAAGCAGCGGGAGGAGCAGGATGCTATAGTTACAGCAAGTTAATAGGCGTACACGTAATATCTGAAGTGGTGGTAGTTGTGGTGGCGGTGGTGGTGGTGGTAGTAGTAGTAGTAGTAGTAGGAGTAGTAGTAGTAGTAGTAGTAGTAGTAGTAGTAGTAGTAGTAGTCGTAAGTAGTCGTAAGTAGTCGTAAGTAGTAGTAGTAGTAGTAGTAGTAGTAGTAGTAGTAGTAGTAGCAGTAGTAATAGTAATAATAATAATCATAATAA